GCTGAGGGAGCATGCAGGTCTCAGTGTGGTGAGCTGCAGCTGTGTGGACCTGCATCCCTGAGTGCCGCTTGCTGCTCTGCCATGGGTGGGTTTTTTTTTTTTTAGGGGGGAAGGATCCCAGCGCTGGGGGTGAGGGCAGCTGTGCCCTGCACTAGGGTGGATGCAACTTTAATGTAGCAGGTGCTGCAGGATGGGCACATGGCAGGCCAAAGCCACCAGTATCGGTCAGAGGCCGAGCACCACAGACACAACCAGCACCAGTGTCCTTGTCCTAGTCCCTACTCTGGCTGAGCGGGATGAAGGGCCATTAGTGCAAAATGTGTGCGCATGTCCATATATCTATTTAGATATCCACACACACGTCCCTGCAGTAACTGGCCTTAGGCACTCAGTCAGTACAGCAGCTAGCCCTTGAATCCTTGCTGGCAGTTGCCCCAATGCCCTCGCTATTCCCCACAGTCCCATACCCTTCCCCAGGGCAGGCCTGCAGGCCAGCTGGTGCCCACACACAGGAGTATTTCCCATGCCAGGGAAACAAGCAGAAATGCTGTTTCATGATAAAAATGGGACAGCTCGCAGGATTTCGCCACGCAGGGCACAGCAAAAGAGCCAGAAATGGGGTTTCCTGGGTCGACGGGACAGCCCGCGGGATCTCACCGCGCAGGGCAGGCACCCAGCCCCGCTTCAGCCCTTTCCCCACATGTAGACCCCCTGTTCCACCTCGCGTCCTCCCCCTCGGACCCCCAGGCACAGCTGACCGGTCCCACAGCCCTTCCTGGCCCCCCGTATCGTGCCTGCCGCGAGCAGCACAGGGATGGGGGCAGCCTCTGCCCTCTGCGACCATCCTCCTGCCACCCAGGAGCAGCAGGGCCAGGGGCCTCCGTTGGCCCTGATGAGGTCCCTGGGGTTCCTTCATTCCTCTGGGTTCATGGAGATGAGCCTTTAATCACATAACCTAACAGTCAGTCTTAGAAAAACTCCCAATTTTATTCTTTCAATAGACTTACTAGGTTAATAGAAATAACTGTAGACATAAAGGCCTTTGATACAGCACATGACAAAGCATTCTTATTAAAATTTGGCACAAAAGAGTATGAACAGACCACACAGTAAACTGAAAAGCACCTGCAGGGACTGAAACCACCCAGTCCTGAGCACAGTAAACTGTCTAAAACTGGTAACGTAATACAAATTACTAATGTGAACTCACCATTAACCAGAGCCATTTTAATGGAGCTTCACAGAGACTGGTGCTAAGTCCAATATCAAAAGCTTTCTTTAATCACCAGGAAGGAAGCTGAAAACGAGAACCCTGGAGGCTGGTGCCTCACAGCAGGAACAAGGCAGCCGGGCAGCGACCAGCCAAGCCCTTTCGGACAGGTGAAGGCCGGCTGCCGAGGGCACTGCAGCTTCGGGCACTTGGTCCGGGGCGACGCAGTCTTCAGAGGCTCAGCTCCGGGCAGCCAGGATTTACCCCCCTGCAGAGAGGCTCTACAACATTGCTGCTGTCCCACTTCTAGAAGGGGGGGCGCGGAAACTGAAGAGGCACCAGAAATGGCAAATGATTTCAGCACTGGAAAAAATATTTCTCCTTGTTCCCATGAGAATTCAGACTGTTTATTCAAAATTTGGAGGCAACTTGGCCAGTGCACTTGTACCTTCACAGGGAGGAAGTGCCAGGTACTAAGCTGCCCCTTATCTGGAGATACCCTGAGACAGACCCATCTGGCAGCAAATGAGAGATGCCCCAAGGAGCAATAAAATCTGCCTTTGGAAAGAGCTCCCAGAGCAGGAAAAACAAACACACACACACACACACACCCCTCTCCTGTGGGGTTTTACTGAGCTAGCACCTTTCCATGGGAAAGGCCAGTTAATCCGGAAACAGCTTCTGAGCACAGAAACCACAGGGTGGGTGTCTCTGGGCAGGGGGCCAAGCAGCAGGTCCAGCTGCACAACCTGCACACGCATGCGGCACTGATCTCCCACCCAAGCACGGCCGCAGGAGCCCAGCTCTGATGCTGCAGGGACTGAAACCACCCAGTCCTGAGCACAGTTACTAGAGAGACACCGAATGCAAGGGCTTAGCGCCGGGCCACCAGGGAAGGGCTCGGCTCATCGAAAAAGATGATGCACTTGGCTCTGTCCAGCCTGGTGAGGCACTGACAGATTGAGTTGCAGCATGCAAGGCCCAAACAGCTGGCCAGGGCAAGCCAGTCAGAGTTCACTTACCAGTAGGAAACCTCGCTGTGCAGGAAGAGCATTGCCAAGGGCACTCACCTCTGACATAGGAGCCCCAGGGCAGCTGCAGGGAGCTCTGTCAGGTGACTGGGCCTGCAAACCTGCATCTGTGCTCCTGCTATCCCAGGCGGGAGCTGAAGGGACACAGCAGCAGGGAGCAGCAGGTGACTTTTGCAGCTGCGGTTTCTAGCCTAGGGACTGCTGCAGGAGCAGCAGCATTGCTGACACACACCCTACAAGCTTTACACCATCCAGCACACCTGGCAGGAGCTGCCTGTTCACACACCTCCAAGAGTGCACAGCTCCATGGGTACAGCATCCTGCAGCCAGGCTGCTCTGGGCTGCGCCAAGCACCCACATCTCTATGCAGCAGATACAAACCGGCTCCAGAGACTTCTCCCCTACTCCATATGCAACAGTCTGTGCTCAGCTGAGCCATCTCAGGCTAAATGAAGAGGCAGCAGGGCCCAAGCACTGCAATCCCACAGCAGAGGCCAACTTATCCTGAGCAGCAGCCGATACCCCGAAGCACCCTGAGACACCAGGACCAGCATTCTCCTCCCAGGCCCACCCTCCTCACCCCTCACCTCCAGGAAATAACCAAGGACCAAAGTACAGCTATGTTTTCTGGGCTTTTAGTTTGAAAAAGTATTGATTGAAAGTGTACAACAGAACAAGGTGTGGCAGCAGCACCACCACCAGATTGTTTCACAAATAAAAACAGAAAGGGCCTTAAATAATCGGGTGCAGATTAAAAAACCTCAACGGTGAAAAAGTTCTTCCCTCCAAACAGAAAGTCACAGGCACAGAAATGGCAACAACCACATGGAGACAACGGGGGGATATCCTTCTAACCACAGGGCTCTGTGCTAACAGGCTGCCACCTGCGGCGGGCTCCTGCACCGTGGCTGGCAGCGGCTCCCCTGTGCAGCTCGGCCCTCAGGTCACTCTTTGGAATGGTTACAAATGAACGGTGTGACATGCCCTTGCTAACCAGACCCGCCCCCCACCCGCCGACCGGGACATGGACAAACAAGGCCTCTGCTAAGGCTAAAAAAAGGACAAGACTTTGGAGTCTTGAGTTCAGCATGTTTTAAGAAACGAGAGTCTGGTGAGTGCACAGCAAAGTCTCTGTGCCAGGCCTGCTATTCCAGCTTGGCCTTCTTGCTGTTATCGCTGCCGTTCTCTTCTGCTGGTGCTGCTGTGTCCTCCAGTTTCCGTTTCCCACTTTCAGCAGGGGAGTGCGTGTTACGGGGTTTGAAGCTGATAATGATGCAGGTCATGTTATCACAGCCGGTGCCATCCCCTGAGGTGTCTGGAGCCAAACACTGATCCAGCAGCTGAGGAGGGACAGGACAGGACAAGTTAGCAGAGTACACAGAGACAGCACTCTGAATGATTCAAGGCATTGGGCCCATTTTATCAGTTGATAGCAGCTTAGGGTTGCCACACCAGTGGTGTGTGCTGGGCTCAAATCCCATACTGATTGCAACCCAGCAAGGGGCAAAAACAGCCCCAGCAGCCCTGATGTTCTCAAAGTAGACAGAAACTCCTTCTGCTTGATGGACACCTAGAGATCAGAGCCATCGATCAGGGTGCCACAAGAACTGGGCCCCAGAATCCAGATGCATCTCCACTCCTGTACCAGTCAGGGTAGCAGCCCTAGGTGCTGCCAGACAGCCCAAGTGCTGAACAAACCAGTCTGATGGAGAGGGAGGCTGGAGTCAGGCGTGAAGCTGGGATGCAGAAACACAGCAAGCTGAAGGGATGACAGACTGGTGGGATGGGCTCTGGTCCTTACCTCTTCTACAATGGAGGAGAGCGGCCTCAGGACTCCATTTTCATCCTTTTGGGTGATCTTGGATTGGATGAAATCCACCACTTCCTGGCTGCTCATCACATTCCTGCAGAGGGTGGAAAGATTAGAGGGGCTAGTGAAGAGAGCAGTCACGCCACGCTCCCTGACTCCCTCCCACACCATTCTGTCCTGAGAGCGCCCCGCTGTGGCAGGAGCAGAGGGGAACAAGGCTGCATGCAGCGAGGATCAGGAGGATTCAGAACTCAGCACGCTGTCATGTCCCTCCAGTTCGGTACAGCTCCTCAGGGGCCCACCTTAACTCTCTGAGGGCATGGGGAACAAAGGGCTAATTAGCACCCAGGACCCTTGGGGCTTCCTGATGCCCAGCCCAGAAGAAATACTGGGGTAGCGATGCCCAAGCAGCAAGCTGCTCCCACGCTACCCACCAGATTCCATCGCAGGCAATGACCATGAAGTCGTGGTCATCATTTATTGTCAGCACTTTGATGTCAGGCAAGGCAGAGATCATCTGTTCTTCTGGAGGCAGGTTCTTGTTTCGCTTGTAGAAGTGATCACCTGTAGCAGAGAGGAGGATCACTTTCTGCTGTGATTGGGCCCTGGCAATACTGCCAACCCTTAAAGAGCAGGGAACACTGCCCCGCCAAGGGGCAGCCCCAGCAGAATCTGGGCCAGCGCTCCCAGAGCTGGAGCAGATTGGGCCATGGGTGCACCAGATCAAGGGAAACGGGCCACACATCCAAGGCAAGCCCAACACACTGAAGGAGAGAGGTTCAGCATCTTCTCATGCCAAACCAAGTGCCACTTCACCAATTCCTGGGTCCAGCCCAGGCCAGCACGTGTCATCTGACGCCAGCTAAGAGATCCTTGCAGCAGCACTCATGAGGCGAGCTATCCTATGGAACATGCCTTGGAGTAGAAGGATTTGCTGCTCACACCAGCACTAGCTTGAGTTTGCTGTCATAACACCAGGTGCTCATTATCAAGATGTTTCAGTGCAATACCCTCCCTACCTGGCAGCCCACATAGCACTGCCGGGCTCAGGTCTCCCCAAGCCCTCAGTTGCCAAAGCTCACTTGAGAAAACTGATCCTCAGTGCTGACTAGCAGGCTCACCTGCAGTCATGTCCCAGGAAGGGACTTCCAGGAGAAGGCAGAAAGGCAGTGTCTCCCCAGAAAAACAAACTCCCAGCTTCCCTCCTAAGTGTGTTTAGTCACTTACCCCGATAATTATTCCACTATTTTTAGTCTTTTTTGCACAAGAGCAACTCAGGCCCTCAGTTGCTGACATTTCCTTCCTTTCCTGTGCATTTTCTAGTATACTCTTGGTGTTATTCACAACCCTTTCCTTAATGCCTCCCAGCATCTCATCTGTTCAAATTGAGACCATTCACTGGGCCAAGACCTTGTTTGGCTGCTCACAGATATGCCTAGTCTCCTGAGCTGTTAATTGTACCCATGCTGCTCATAAGAGGCTGCAAGATGAGTACAAACAGCAGTCAGGTGCTGCCTGAAGGAGAAAAATGGAGCCTAAGCAAATTAAGGGCAAGTATGGCTCAAGAACAAATGGGCTCAAACTGGTATAAAGTTAGGTCCCCAAGAAGCAGCATACCAAGGTCCTTGAACAGCCTCCTAACAAGAGTAGCAGTGAGGAAAAAATCCTCCCTGCTCAAAAACCAACAATTAGTTTGAGGAAATTTGAGGTGGTCTCTGACAATCTGGCCATGAGCACAACAGCCTTGGAGTGCTCACACAGCGTGTCTTGCACGGGAACCTGACAGGTGCTGGGTGCTGCTCTTTCCATTGATGTCTGCCAGTTTCAGCAAACATGGAAATTCATGGTCATGTTCTCTAATTAGACTGAAATCTCACCACGTCAAATATTCAATAAGCTCTAGGCATCATCTAGTTAAGACTGCTCCTAAAACTTTGAGGTGGGCGAGTGCTGGAAGCATGGATGACCAGGGCACAGCACCCTGAGGGCGGGCATGCCAGCATTCACCCCCGGACTTGCTCACCAATTGCCCTGGAGAGGTTGAGACCACCATTAACTCTGCCGTCCATGGTGACCTTGCCACCAGCGTTCTTTATCCTGGCCAGCTCTACTTCATCCTCTGGCTTGTGGTCATACGACATGTCCACGGCTTTGCCGCCTTCTGACACCACACAGCGAGAGTCCCCGGCGTTAGCCACAATCAGCTGCTTGCCCCGGATAAGGGCCACAACAGCAGTTGTCCCACTGTCAGAGCCAGGCTGCAAGAAACAAACGGTTTTGCTGAGACCCCTTTCTATTGCTCTGTATCAGGTCATAAAGGAACAAGCACTAGCCATCAGCGGCCCGGCAGTGTCCCAGACTCTAAGGTGCTCCACCTCACCCCCTCTTTCCAGAAGCACAGCCAGGACGAGAGAGGGAAGCCTGAGGGAGCGTGAAACACAGTGGGAGCGTGTTCACTGAGAGGCATGGTGGAGTGACACCTCCCTTCCAGCCTCACAGACTGTCAACGGTTCAGGATCCTCCTGCGTTCAACATGTTCTGCTGCATCCTCAGCTTTAATGCAGTGACTCCAGCCCCACCCCAGGTCAAGTCAGAGCTACCCTGCAAGCCAGAACTTCCCTCCAGAGAACGTTGGCACCTCAGAAGCAGCACTCTCTCTCTGAGGTCCCGGATCCCTGGTCTGTCTGCCAGCATTACCACGGGCTGGCAAGCCACAGCCTCAGCCAGGCAAAGGGCAACATGCTGCCTGAGAACAGCAGCGCCAGCAGAGCAGTCCTGCTACTGTCGCGTGCTCCCCTTCCATGCCACCCTCCACAGCGGTTTCTAAACAAACCCTGCAATAGGGTCAACGTCTTCTGATCTCAACCTGCTGCCCCAGTCCATGCGCTATCCTCACTTCTCCTCAGCCTTTTGCATAGGGCAAATTCAGGCCGTCAACAGCTGTGTTCAGCCTCAGGAAAACAAAAGGGACTTTTTCCCTGGTCAAAGGGAAATGATGTCCTGTCAAACCCCCACTATAAGCTCTTCACTCCACACTATGGGGCAGAACACAGGAACAGGGTGTGCACCTCCTCTTTCCCCTCCATGCCTGGTAACAACATTTCCTCCTCTTCGTCCTCATCCTCCTCAGCTTCTTCAGTGTCATCTTCGTCGTCTTCATTCTCTGCCTCTTCACTACTGTAACCATCTTCGTCTTCACTGCATTCCTGCAAGAAACAAGATATATCACTAGGATTCACACAGGACACTACCAGTGCCCTCCCCAGACAGCTGGTCCCTCCATCCTGGGGACAGAGGATAAGTTCACCCCAGAATAAGAGTGAGATGACCTGGCAGGTTTGCCCCACGCCTGATGTCTACAAACAGAGTAGCTGTTTTCAACTACCACAGTGAATGAAAGGACAGTACATGCAGCAAGACCAGGGGTATCCATTATGGCCGCTGCAGAGATGAGGATGTTTCCCTCAGGGTCGTCCAAACAATCCCCAATATTCCCATGAAATGGTCTCAAAGCATCAGCCTGAAAATCCTACTCCTAGGACAGACCTAGGATGAGCCACAGCAAGCACCAGCCAGAAGGCCCCTCTTTCCCAGTGCTGTTTCCTACCTCACTGTCTTCCTCCTCTTCCTCAACCTCATCTGACTCATCCTCACTGTCCTCAAAAAATTTGGATTTGGTTGTGCGCTGGGGCTTTCCCGTAGAGGAGCAGGAGGGCCCGGCCTCCCCAGTAGAAGAGGTGACGGCCTCGTCACCTTTGCCTAGTTCAGGCTTCTGCAGAGCAGGGCTGTTGCCTCCAGTGCTGGCTTTGTCTGAGGTGGAGGAAATACCCGTGACTTCTTCATCTGGCTTCCCATTCTTCCTCTCCTTGTGGTCGATTAGCTCCCCTGGGTCAGCCTCTCCATTCATATTTGACTCCCCATCATGCTGCTTGCCTGTCCCCTCTGCAGTGCTCTCCCCAGGTGGAACTAAGGACTTGTTTTTGAGGTTCTTGGTGCAGTTTTGTCCATAACGCGTGAGAAGCTCCTCAATGGTCATTGTGGCTTCTTCATGCAGAAGAGCAGCTTCCTCATTATCCACTAAAAATGGAAAGGGGGAGGGGGATGAGGGAAAAGAGGATAAGAAAGCAGGACACACAACCATAGCAGTCAGCAGTGAGCTG